CTGGGCCGGGGCATGGGGCGCCGATGGTCCGGGCAGATTCCCTCACCTGCTCGCGGGGTGGGGTGAAGCGGGCAATGGGGGTATGTGGCAGGGCGTGTTCTGAGATGCCGCTGCAGGTTTGGTGGTGGTGATGTGTACGGCTGCCAGCGGGAGAGCTGCAGCCGTTGAATGTACTGTTACAACAATCGTGTGATTATTGTAAGAATAAATGATGCTGCAAAGCATGAAAATGCCAAACAAGCAGAACTCAAAGTAAAGAATCGATCTAACCAGGCTTGTATCGATCCGATACCGATGCCGACTTGGGATCGATACTATCGATATTTGGATCGATCCGCCCACCACTAGGTCACACCACTGGCACTCACAGAAGACCCACTAAGCTGCTGGAAATCCCATGAGCACGTCTATCCTTTCCTGGCCACGCTGGCAAAAAGATGCCTTTATATCCCAGGTACTAGTGTCTCGGCTGAAAGAGTCTTCTCGACCACTGGAGACATTGTCACAGCAGCACGAAGCACTCTGACCTCAGAGCATGTTGATCAGCTCCCTTTTCTGAGCAAGAATGCTGACATTCCTTCACTGTTCAACTGTGTTTAACTTTTTCAGGGCAGCAACAAATATGACAGTTTACTTATTTTAATTTAAGACAACATGTTTTGTCTGAAGGTTCTCAGTCATCCAGGTCATCGTAGTCTAAGGAGCTTGCAAAGAAAAGCGTTTGGACTTCTTTGAGTTGCTTAAAGACGTTTCACCTTCATCCGAGAAGCTTCTTCAGTTCTAGGGTCAAATGGTGGAGAGTCCCAGATTTAAACCTAGTGGGAGTTTCCTTCCAAAGAGGGACAAAAGGACAAAAGGATCAGGGGGTCATTTTGTCCCTCTTTGAACCTCTTTCCTTGAAGTTCTCGGTGATTCTATAAATTGTTGATTTAGGTGCAATCTTAGTAGCCACAATATCCTTGCCTGTGAAGTCATTTTTATGCAATGCAATGATTGCTGCATGTGCTTCTTTGCAGGTCACCATGGTTAACAATGGAAGAACAATGATTTCAAGCATCACCCTCCTTTTAACATGTCAGGTCTGCCATTCTAACCCAATCAGCCTGACAATGATCTCCAGCCTTGTGCTCGTTAACATTCTCACCTGAGTTAACAAGACGATTACTGAAATGATCTCAGCAGGTCCTTTAATGATAGCAATGAAATGCAGTGGAAAGGTTTTTTTGGGGATTTAGTTAATTTTCATGGCAAAGAAGGACTATGCAATTCATCTGATCACTCTCCATAACATTCTGGAGTGTATGCAAATTGCTATTATAAAAACTTAAGCAGCAACTTTTCCAATTTCCAATATTTATGTAATTCTCAAAACGTTTGGCCACGACTGTATGTCTATGCTCTGTGTTGGTCCAGACACCCACTCCATGAGTTGATAAAAAAATTATAATAAAATAATAATAATAATGATAATAAGTTAGACTTAAAAAGTCCTAAACCATCTGCTTTTTCAGGACAGCATACCTGTACATTAAAATCTTAAATAATAAGGACTTGATATTATTTAGACATGATTTCAGCCAGAGATTCCCCTGATGATTGAGCATGCATCAAGACATAATGATATATAACATATATTACATATTTAACAATAGAACAATCTTATGTATGATGGCACACATGAAGTGCAAACATAGCAACAAATGTCATCAGCAAATGATAAGTTAACAGCTGGAGGTCCCAATAACAATTTTCTGATGTTACACAGCTCCTTTAAAAGAACCACCAGCAGAAAACAATGGCAAGTCTTGACTGATGATGTCACCAATTTCCACATGTACAACTGTACACCACAGCCCTTTTACCTCTATATAGTCACACTTAACACAGATCTGATCCTGTGTCAGAATGAGTTGAGTCCACACAAAAACCTCTTCAAATTTAAACGATCAGTCAGAGGCTTAAAACTGATTATGCTGTGCACGTAGAGATGAGTGACATTAAAGTCAGGCTCAGAGCCAAGTTTTTTTTCATCTGTCGTCACTGACAGAACCACAGATTTTATTGTATCTGAATAAACTATGTCAAGTTTAAACATTTTTGAATGACGCTAAGAGAGCTACAGCTAAAACATGTAGACATCAGTGACATCATCACTCACCTAGGACTTCTAATTGCTCCTTAAAGACTTGTTCTGAAAGAAAAAAAAGTTTCAATTCTTTGTCTTTTACTTGGTTCACAACGCATGAGTGCTTAGAAATATTTTTAGAATGCTTTTAAAAATAAAGAACTCACCGACAAGGAGTTTGACGTCGAATGTTTCTTCTGCTGACTGCGGAAAAATACAGATGTAGTCTCCACTGTCCGTTATCTGCGCATTTCTGATGATTATGGAGGCATTGCCAAACCTTAGCTGGTCTGAAAAATGGAATACTCGTCCTTTAAAGTGCTCATTTTGACCGGGACGTCCATTATTGTAATGAATGCCACCATCATAGAAGAAGACCTCCTGTTTATTTGGACCAACTTTTTTCCAATCAAAGAGCTTTTTTTCAAGGTTCTCCTTAATGGTGGGGGAGCAAGGTAAGACTGGGTCACTTCCTTCTGGAACAACAACTGTGACGACTCCTGGACCTAAAGGACAAAGGATATTTTAATTAGACTGCTTGAACAAGGAACAAAATGGAAAATACACACATAGTTTAAGAATGAAATCATTATTTCACCCAAGTTTAGATACAACTTCACAGCTGTATGCCTCCACCAACCAGTCAATTTGCAGTTTATATCCATGTTACTACAGATGAGAGATTGGCCAGAAACCAGAATCTGACAATTTTCAGCATTCTCTGCCGTGATTGGTGACCCACTGGTTAGCCTCACTTACAGCCTATAGCATAACACTCTATTTCATGGATGAGAAAGCATGCACAGTGGTGCAGGCAAATAGTCTTGTGCAAACTCCACCACGTGCTAATATATATCACTGACAGAAGAGCTTTTATACTCCCAAAGTCAAAAGAAACCACAGGGGTACTAGCAGATAAAGGTTTGATACAACAAACCTAATGAGACATTTAAATCAATCCCGCTCACCTGAACATGAACATTTTACTAAAGCTATCAAAGAAAAAGTGGGTAAAGATAAGACTATCCAGAGCTTAAAGCCTGCTACAAGCCAGACACCTCGGTATAAGCAAAAGGCCAGAAATTGCTCAGAAATTATGAAAACTTTTCTTTTAAGTTTTTTTACAGTGGTCTTCAGTAATAGCTCACAAGTCTTCCTGTTTTTCAGCACTTTTCTTTGGACATTACAGCCAAAGAAAAAAAATGAAGAAACTCAAAATGCTACTTAGGGCTGGGCGATATGACCCAAAATTCGTATCTCGATATTTTTTTTTAAAGCCATAAGGTAAGAACAAAAAGAGAGTTCTTAGTCAAAGCTGTGTCCCAGATGTCACACAGGCACTTTTATTAACATAGAGCATAGATGTACATAAAAAAAAATTACTCAGAAATACATTATCAGCATTTATTAAATAATAATGCTCTATGAATAAAATAAAGAAATTTTTTTTCATGCATAAGAAAAAGCTCACAATTGTGCAGTCAAAATGTAAACTAAAAAGATGCTGAGCATAATAACAAAGACAGAACATTTTTGACAGATTTTTGAGCACCGTGTATCACATAAAATCAGTTTGAGGTCAGTAAGCACAACCAGAATTCATATATAAAGCGCACCGGATTATAAGGTGCACGGTCGATTTTCGAGAAAATATAAGGCGCACCTAAAGGATTTTTAGTGCGCCTTACAGTCCAAAAAATACAATACATGAGTTTTGTAAGGTGGTTTGTTTCAGTGCAGGAGGCTGGGAAGACTTGTGGTCTGGGATACAGCACGCAGTTTCCCACACTCTTCAATCTGCACATTATGGCGCTGTTGTAAATAGTGAAAATACTACCAGTGCTTGAACCTTTAGTCGGCCTGTCATTGCCAGCACACGGTTTTCAACCAAGTTTTAGAAATTGAAATTTTCAGCTATGGGCATCACAGTGGTGCAGTGGTTAACACTGTTGCCTCACATCAAGAAGGTCGCGAAGGTGAATGCACCATCTGGAAAGGGACTTTCCTGTGTGGAGTTTGCATCTTTTCCCCATGTTTGCATGGATTCTGTCCGGTACCCCCGCTTCATCCCACAGTCCAAAGATATGCAATTATAAATTGCTCATAGGTGTGAATGGTTGTCTGTCTCTCAGTGTTAGCCCTGCAATAGAGAGGCAACCTGTCCAGGGTGTACCCCAGCTCTCATACTATGATAGCTGGGGTAGGCAGCCAGTGCCTTCAATACATCCAACCGGCACTGCTGAGGGAGAAGCTTGGAACAATCAACTACCTCACCAATAGACCACAGTAGGGGTGGGCGATATAAGCGATAAACGATAGAAATTTGGCCAACCATTATCACCTGCAAATTATGGCGGGCGACAGTCATAGCAAAGAGATGAAGCACTTTTGAAATATGGGGAAAGCCAAAAACTGCGCTTCCTCCTCTTCCGTAACATTGATTCATTAATGTTGAATTCTCTCACAGCTGCTCTATTCCCATGTTGTTGCAGTATATTAATGACTAACCTCGTATTGTGGATGAATGATCTCAGTTGTTCTCCTGACTGAAGTTTGGCCCGTGTACAGCATCCTGCTATGTGATTGCATTTGTCCCTGACCACCAGAATCCCTCATGTTAACTTTTATGGAGTGGAAAAAAAGTTGGCGTTCATCCTCCAGCTTCACTGTGCTAATGTTATGCTAACATAGCTGTGTCGCTAGCAATCACGTAGCACAACATTATATACCAGCTAGTCCAACTTCAGTAACCCTGCAAACACCACTGCTGTTTAGTTTTCTGTCTTCATTTATGTTGGAAGTGATAGCAGAGCTGTACGTTTTAATTAGTTTCAAAAATCTCTCAGTCAGAACATGGTATGTCATGTTTAGGTGTAAACTAGCGAGCTAACTTCCTGTTAACTTGTAACTCCGTTAAATTTAATAAATTCTGTTTTCATGGATGCATGGATGTTAAACTTAATTGTTACACCTGGTAAAGCAGCAACACTGATGATTTAATTAAAGATGAAAGAATTTAGACCAGGGGTGTCCAAACTCCGGCCAGTTTACTGGTATTTTACTGTATATAGTAACCATCTGTAGATAGTATAGTATTTTGGCTTTTTTGTATACTATTTTTATTATTAACTTTATTCTAATTGTAATGTTTTCTAATATATCTCTGGTTCAGCTTTCCCTCTTGTCCCTAGTGCTGCTGTAACAAGTGAATTTACATAAAATCTGTGTCTAAATTTCACAGACGTTTTACCAGGGTTGTGCCAAAAAGTGATCATCTGGCAAACTGATTTTCGGTATTTGCCAAAAAGTGGTTGCTCATATTTATACTGCTATAAATAAATAAATGGTGAATGTAAAAAACCTACAGCTGCAAATGGAGAGATGCCAAACTGTGTTTCATTGTTCTGGTAACAGTGACAATAAAGATCTATCTATGTAAATTACTTCTTGCCCTATAATATATGAAACATATATCAAATGTATCCCTCATGAATTATATCAAGTCATCTTGAGCCACAAACAACATTCCTGTCAAAGGTAGAAGCCGCAATCAGTTTTTGGCAAAGCGATTTTTTTTATATCCTAACACGGAGCCATAAAGATACTTGAAAACAGGTCATTTTTAAATTTTATATATAACCTTTTGTAAGCCCTGCTACATAAAGTCTATTTACCAATATAAGTGAAGACACTGGAATTCAATTTTTAGCCCAACACCAGAATGTTGTTAGCCCCTCTAAGCTAGCGGCATTACCAAGAACAGCAGAGTTCTTCAGGATCATAGCACCCCTCAAATGCCGTTTTGTAGTGAAAACCAGCTTTAGACGGTTTCCTAGAAAACAAACGGGACTAACGTTAGCGAGCAAAATAGATTGAGGAGATGTGCCGCACGGGTTTGCTTGTGACAACCCTCTTAGCTTCGCCGCTACATACTGCAACTACGTAGCTTCGGTGGGGTTCGTAGGGTTTTTTAAGTTTATGCCAATAACAACACAAGCACAAGCGTTAGCTTTCCTACCGTGTTCTTTTCCAGTTGTTATTACTGGCACAGTCAGAAGGGAGATGCACAGATACTTTAGGACTGTTTTTTTCATCTTCATTGCAAGAATTTCCATGGTAGAAGATGTTCTTCTTCTTCTTCTATTTTAACGGCAGCTTGCATCCATAGAAGTTGCATTACTGCCACCTCTGGCGCTTACTTAGACCGCATCTAACTCTAAATCCTCTTAATAATAATCCCGAATTACTCAGAAACAGAAAAACCACTCCCTTCCCTTCATGACATCCCAGCCATTCAACCACCTTTTCAAACCTGAATTCCCCCGTATTTCCCATTTCTACCCTCATCATTCTCCTGCAGTTACCATACCTCCTGCAGTTAATAAATACATGCTCAACTGTTTCCATAACACCACACCAATTGCATATCCCCATCGAATGTTTCCCCATCCTTAAAAGAGTGCCATTCAGGTAACAATGCCCTCCCTGTTTTTATTCTACTTATAACAATCCCCTCCCGCCTATTCATTTCTTTATTTCTTTGTACTTCTACTGTATTTTGTACCCTCTAGTTTCATTATGCCACGCCATTTTCCATAACTTCTTACTTTCTTTCCAGACTATACACTTTCCTTCAGATTTAGATAATGGTATTTGTACAGCTATGTCTACTCTTTTAATAACTTCATTATCCATCCTATCTGTTCTTTTATTACCCATAATGCCTATATGAGCTGGTGTCCACATTATTACTACACTTTTACCTTGTTCACACACTCTATGGTGAGCAAACATAACTTCATACAGAATGTTCTAATGATTACTTGTATTCCCATTCAATTCATTTCAATTTTTTTTTATTGTCCCACAAGGGGAAATTAGTTTAGCATCAGGATAAAAATAAACAGAACAATAATATAAATTAATAATGACAATAATAGTGATAGAAAGCCCAAGGACGGTTATTTGCAATTAAGGAGACAAGATGCAGTAGGGACAAAAGAAACCTGGAGTCTTTTTGTCTTCCTCACAGGTACTCTAAAACGGCCACCGGAAGGCAACGACTCAAACTCACTGTGAAGTGGTTGGTTCAAACAGTTAATAATAGAATGAGCCTTTCTAAGCACATTTTTATTGTAAATGGCCAAAAGTCCATCTTGCCAGCGCCCTGAAATTTTGCTAGCAGTTTTTACCAGAAGTCCCAACCGATTCTTATTCTTCACCGTCAGGTTACCAAACCAGGCAGCGATACAAAAGGATATCACAGATTTGATAAAACTTCTATAAAACAAAGACAACATCTCAGATGAGACGTTAAAAGATCTCATTTTCCTTAAAAAGAAAAGTCTTTGTTGAACTTTTTTAGTAGTGGCATCAGCATGAGATTCAAAACACAGTTTATGGTCAAGTACCACACCTAGATATTTATAACTCTCAACGATCCCAATATCGGCAGCTTTAATGATAGTAGGTGATGAGCTGTAAGAGGACTTCCTAAAATCAACAATCATGTCTTTAGTTTTTGACACATTAAGTGAAAAGAAGGACTCATCACACCAATCCACAACATCATCTACAACCTGTCCATGGCCTGACTCGTCCCCCACTAGAAGACTGACGATCACTGTGTCGCCAGCAAACTTCAGGATATGTCTGTTCGTGAAATTGCTGCGACACTCATTCGTGTACAGAATGAACAGAAGGGGAGAGAGGCAGCAACCCTGGGGTGATCCAGTAGAGGAGGAGAGCATATCAGAAAACACATGATTCACCATCACGCATTGTGACCTATTAATCAGATAGTCTGTCACCCAGCCGACCAGACTAGTGTCAAGTTTAAAATGATTGTAAAGTCTGTCAGCAAGTAAGAAGGGTTGAATTGTATTGAATACCGATGAAAAGCCAGCTAATAATAATCTTGCATGGGTGTGGGGGGCCTCAAGATGCTTATACAAGAGATGCAGGAGTGTGACAACAGCATCCTCCACACCTCTCCCTGCTCTATAGGCGAACTGGAAAGGGTCAAGATTAAAATCTCCTTCTTAATTATCTTCTGAAATGACTTCATCACTAAAGAAGTCAGAGCCACAGGCCTAAAATCATTCAGTACCTTAGGAGAACTGCCCTTAGCAACAGGAACAATGACAGCTTGTTTCCAAATTTTAGGTACCGTCTGTAGCTCTAAAGAAAGTGAGAAAATATGGTGAAAAAAATCCCACTCAGCTGATCAGTCTGTAGCCCTGCCACTGTTTTCACACCAAGCCAAGCTCTCTTGAGGTTGTTACTGCTGAGTTCTGCATCAATCTTATTTCTATACCTCATCTGGGCAATCTTTATTGCAGCCCTCACCTCCTTCCTCAATATTCACACAGTGGGAACGTCTCCCTCGTTAAAAGCAATTTTCCTTTTAAGAGTCAGATCCCTAATATCTTTAGACAGCCATGGTTTGTTATTGGGGAAAGTCTTAAATTCTGTCTGGAATCACAGAGTCTTTGCAAAAAGAGATGTAGCTACACAACACATCAGTAAGTTCATCCAAATCAGAAGTGCTCTCTTGAAACAAGGAAACAAGTCAGTGCTATCAAAACACCCCTGAAGGGCAACACAACGGTCTTCTGTCCAGACATTAGTCCGCTTCACACTGGCCTTCTCCCTCCTAATCACAGATCTGTAAGCAGGGAGGAGGTGAATAACATTGTGATCCAAAGAACCTAGTGCAGGTCCGGCCACAGATTTATATGCCCCCTTAATTGGTCCATAACACAAATCCAGCGTTTTGTTAGGCCTATTTGTGAAAATAGGAAAATTTAAAACTCCACCTTATCTATCCCCTCTTGAAGTTTCTTAAAAAGATGGACAACAATCCTCCCCCTTACCGATTCCGCTCCGTCATCAGCGAAAAGTGATTTACCATAACTATCAGATATATCTTTAAAAATATCATTAATCATAACAGAAAACAACGTTGGACTTTCTACACTTTTCTGCGGGGTTCCATCTTTTGTTTTGCATGGCTTTGACACGTGTCCCTATCTTAACTTGAATGATTCTGCCATATAAGAAAGCCCATATCCAATTAAACATCCTTTTCCCTATTCCTACACCGTACAATTTAATCATTAAACCCTCTCTCCTGAGCATATCATATGCCTTTCTACATCAAAGAACACAGCAACTACCACTTCTTTATTATCCCTGTGTTCCTAATTTCACCCACCAGGCATAAAACCGGATCCATAACCCCTCGTCCCCTACCAATCCCCGTTTCCTTACAGCTCTGAAGATAATACTCAGCCAGATTTCTGCGCACCACTGTTGAAAGTAGCTTTGAAAAATCCCAGGGTTTAACAAGCAGGTATTAAACTAAACTAAAGCTTAAACTAATTTTCCTAATTTTAAACTGCAGCGTTTTGCTATAAAAAACAAAAAGCTAACCAGCACAATTTGCTTCTACAACCGGACTGTTTGGTCGCATGGCAATGATGTAAATCGCGACCTCTTCCATTTAAGGATTCACTGCTCAGTTCTGACACTGTAAACTACTATCAGGAGTCCCTTTACCACTAAGAGACAAATCCTAAACAGTTTATGTGTATACATGTTTGTTTTATTTACAATAACAGGTGTACTTCCAATATTATCACCACTGTATAAGAAAACCGGAGACAGAATGTGTCGGAAATTTTAGCTGAGGAAACCTTAAAGCATGGCTATTCAACTACAAAGTTAGTTGGGCCAGATTTTCAAACCGAGGAATTTATCTGGGCCAGATATTTTTTTGAAGCCAGTAAGCAGCAGATCATGATCAATTTCAAACCCACACAACTGTATTGAAAAACAAGTAATTTTTTTATTCCTTTTCCCCTGTAAATCTGGTGACC